AGGCCATATCATCTCTTGCCTGGATGACTGCTGTAGCCTCCTAACTGGTCTGTTGTGACCGTTCTTACCTCCTGCAGCAGCCAGAATGGTCCTTCTAAGATCCAAATCAGACCATGTAGTGCCCCAGCTCAAAACCCTCTAATTTCTTCCCTTAGCAGTTAGCATAAAATCCATAGATCTTCCCAAGGCCTGCAAGGTCCTAAAACATCTGCTCAACTCCTTCTGCTTCTCCATCCCCTTTTCCCACTAGTCTTGCATTACAGCCTTTGTCAGCTTTCTCTCCCTTTCCTCACAGTAGCTTTTCCAAACCTCCACCTTACAGGATTCCACCGAATTGACTTGTCATATTCACAGTGGCTGATCTCACTTGCTGCTCTCAGAGAATTGGGTGGGAACCCCTTCAGCTTCTCCCCCATTGCTCACCACCCCCCTATCAGTTTGTCTGTATTCACAGCCATCCTTGTGTGGTTACATCTTCCTGGACCTCCTGAGAATTTATCTCGTGCCTGGTGGACACTCTCAGTGAGCTGCAGACCTCTATGAGAAGGTGACCAGGATCCCCCTGCACTCCCACCATCCATTTTGCTGTCACACTCAGACCCGTCACGGTCTCCTTAGGCTCAACACCATGTTGAGGGATCCGAGTTTCCCTAGCTCAACCTTTATGATTTTATCCCCTTGGGCCTACAGGTAGCTGTGTTAGTCTAGGTCTTCCAAGAAGCAGATACCAATAGGACTCAGTGTGCAAGGATTTTATTAAGAGACATTCATTTCAAGAGAAAATAGGAAGGGAGCCAGGGAAGGCTGGGGGAGACGGCAGATACAATGCAGGTCTGACCCCAAGTGAGGGAGAGAAGGAGGGAAGGTTGGGTGAAGGTATCCAAGACTGCCGTGTTGTCTAAGGAAGGTTCAGAAGGCCACTGGGGAGTCCTTGAGCCCAGGTCAACCATCAGAGCAGTCCTCTATCTCTGGGGAATGGATTCACTGGGAGTTGTATCCGTACCACGCTCAGTCATTGGCTGTGAGCAACCCATGGGAAGTGTGGCCTCTGTCCAAATGTGGCAACAGATTTAGAGCACAGTAGCTGGATCCCTTGGCCAAATCTTACCCTTCTCAAGCCCCTGTGTCCTGTTCAAGATGGATTCAAACCTATATTTTTCTCTGGACTCAAAAGAAGTGTTCCTATTCTTGAAGGCTGGTGCTCGCACCTCACCCCTCCAGCTGCCTCAAGGATGTCACTCCATCACTTCTCCCCTCTCCCATTCTTTATCAAACTTGTCCTTTCTACTGCTTTCATCTGTCTGGCTGATAATATTTGCAAATTAGTGATTTTATCTCTCATATTAGTGATTAAAATAAAGAAAAAATAGCTCTCTGGACCCCTGATGCCTTCTAGTGACTCTTCTTTCCTTCTCTTTATATAGCCGAGGTCCTTTAGAATAGTAGATTTTGCCTCTCCCCTAAACACTGCATTCTTGTTTCTTCCCTTACCCTAAGGAGGTCCCCACTCTCACCAAGGTTCCCAGTGACTCCCAGATGCCTGTATCCAAAGGACACATTTGGTTCTTTGGTGTACTCTGGTCCCTCCTTGGCCTTTTTCTCTCCACTCGCATGGGCTCTCCAGGTTGTCTCATCCACCCGCAGGACTTCAACTTTCTGTGGGCTGATGCCTTCTAAGTCTACATCTCCAGCAGGATCTCTCCGGGGCTGCCCTCTTGACTAGCAAATCCCTATTGGATATCACGGAATAATCCACAGCACCTCCAGCTCAACTAGTCCTAAACTCAATTTGTCATCCCTCCACGAATCAAATATTTTCCTCCTTCTGTTTCCTCAGATTGAGGGAGTGGTGCCATCACCTGACCAACCCAAACTAAAAACCTGGGGGCAGTACTGGGTATAGTTAAGAGCTCTTCAAGTCTGACTGTCGTTGGTTACTCCACATACTAACCAGGTGACTTTGGCCAAGTAACAGCTTCTCTGGGTCTCAGTTTCCTCATCTATATAATGAGGATAAAAATAGTCTCTACTTCAGTGAGTGGTGATGAGGCTCAAATGACATGGTGCATATAAAGCACTTAGCACAGTACCTGGCATGTAAGCGCTCAACAAACATTAGCTGTAAGCATCACCTGCACCATCATCATTGTTACTATCCTAGACTTTTCCTCGTATCTTACTCCCAACGGCAGCAGTCGCCAAATCCCAACAAATCTACCTACACAGAAATGCTCTCAAATCCTTCCCGTCTTTTTCATGCTATCTATGTCAGTTCAACAAGGCAATCCTCTACTTCCTTCTCGGAATGTATTTCAGCAGCCTCCTACTTTTATTTATCTCTCAAAACCATCCTCCAGATAGCAGCCAGAGGGAGTTCTGCCATAACACAGATCTAACCATGTCTCCCCTGCCTCCAGGCGCTTCCCACTGCCCCTAGGGTAGAATCCCCTCAAGGCCAGCCTCCTGCGGCTGACCCCCTGTGGTTGCCCCACAATCCTGGCTGATGGGTGCCCTATGGCACTGCATATGTTGCTTTCCCTGCAGGAGCTGCCGTTCTGCTGTCTGACCCACTAACCCTTGGTCCTCCTTTGAGAGTCAGCTCTGGTGTCATCATTTCCAGGAACCCCTGATGATCTCCCTCTCCTTCCCTCTCAGTGTTGAGTGAAGCGAGCCCATTCTGGGCACCTATGTGTTGTCAAGGTTTTCTCGCAGATTTGCCTTACCCCACCCCCAGCCCCTCATTTGGCAGTTCTGCTCTCAGCATTCACCCGTCACCAAAGGGCCTTTACTTGTGGCCTCCAGCTGTCAATCAACAGAGACTTATTGAGAACCCCCCTACTGTACACCAAGCCCTGCTGAGTATATGTGGTAAATGCAACAGACATGGTCCCTGCCCTTGTGGAATATTAGAGCCCAGCAAGGGAGAAAGATATTAAACCCAAAAAATAAAAATAAAGCATACAAACTGAATTTCCAGAAGAGGGGTCGCTCTACCTTCAACGTGTCTTGCTAGCATCCCTCCCTGCTAGGCCCATCTGACTGAGGACATGGGGTCATGACCCCATAACCTCTCCCCCTCATGGTTGGGCGTGTTCAGTCTCCCCTCCCAGGTGTGTGGCTACATAAATGTAACTTAGCTGTCAATTGCCTGAGCATTTCTAAACCTTCAACCTTGCAAGGTCATCCTTCTGTTTATATCAAATTAAATAAGCTGAGCCTCCACCTGGTGCTGTAAGAAAACTGACCTCAGCTATCACTTTCTCCGTCAGCCTTGCAGCATAGAAAAGCACGACCTCCCAGCTTCTGAGAGCGCACTTTCAAATCGATACAACTTCAACTGACAGATGAAAACCAGCTTTTTTGCCCCTAATCATAGAGATTTAATAATGTCTACTCCTCTGATCAAGCTCTCAAAAACCATTTACTCCCTAAGCTAACAGAGGGTCAGAGACCATGGGAGCACATATATGGCCTATGGGTCTGTCTTAGGAGATTTTTCTGAGTGACCTAATCCACTCACATCCAGATTTTGCCTGAGTTCTTAAAATCTCTATTAGGAAAGTTTATACTTCACTGATTCTTTTTTTTCCTGTTTCTTATTGAGATAAAATTCATATGACATAAAATTTACCATTTTAACCATTTTAGAGTGTACAAGTCAGTGGTGTTTAGTACATTCACAATGTTGTGCAACTACCACTGCTGTCTAGTTCTAAAATATTTTCATCACCCCAAAATAAAATCCTGTACCCAAAGCAGTCACTTTCCATTCTCCCCTCACACCCACCCCTGGAAACCACTAATCTATTTTCTGCCTCTGTGGATTTGCTTATTCTGGATATGTCATACAAATGAAATTGGGCAATATGTGGCCTTTTGCATCGGGCTTCTTTTACTTAGTGTAATATTTTCAAGGTTCATCCATGTTGTAACATAAATCATTCCTTCTTATGGCTAAATAATAGAGTATTGTATGGCTATCCCACATCCATTTTAATTTGTTTTTCCACACATCAGTTGATGGACATTTGGGTTCTTTCCACTTTTTGGCTATAATGAATAATACCGCTATGAACATTCGTGTATAAGTTTTTGTGTGGACGTATGTTTTCAATTCACTTGGGTGTGGACCTGGGAGTGGAACTGCTGGCTGATATGGTAACTCTATGTTTGACTTTTTGAGGAACTGCCAGACTGTTTTCTAAGGTCACTGATTCTTAAACATAGTTGCACATTGGAATCATTGGGGCATCTTTTTAAAGTGCTGCTTCCTGGGCCCCCCTCAGAGGGTCTCATGTCATGGATCTGCTTTGTGGCCTGTGCAGGGAGAGTTTCAAAGCTCCCCAGGTGATTCTCACTAGCCCCGGTTGAGAACTTCTGGTACAGACAAAGGGGACTCAATGAGGAGGTCATTAGTCAATAACTCCTGAAGCTGCCTGCCCCCTGAAGTCAGTGTTCTCAGACCTGCTTGATCACAAGAATTTTCTGGGACACTTATTGAAAATACAGATGCCTAGGCCCCTCCTCTGGAGATGTCCTACTTAGTGGGCCTCGGGGGAACCTGGGAATCTGAAGTTTCAACACACACTTCAGGTCTATCTTAGGATCCGGCAAGTGGTGGAAGCAGTATCTTAAATTCCTGCTTCTCAAAGTGTGGGCCGTGACCAGCAGCATCAGCACCACCTGGAGCTTGTAAGAAATGCAGATTCTACCTACTAAGTCAAAATCTGCACTTTAACAATTCTGCGGTGATTGTTAGCACATTAATATCTTAGAAGCACGGTGTTAGACTACTAATCTCAAGCAGTATAGTCTCTAGACAAGTGGTTCTCAAACTTGACATGCACTAGATCATCTGAAAGGCTCATTAAAGCACAGGTTGCCCTTGGAGCTTCTGATTTAGTAGGTCTGAGGCAGGGAATTTACATTTGTAACAAGTCCCCAGGTGATACTGGTGAGCTTGGTCTGGGGACTTCACTTGGAGAATCCCTTGTCTAAAGTCTAGTCCAGGGTTTCTCAAACTCCACACTATTGACATTTTGGGCCAGCTAATTCTTTCTTGTGGGGGCTGCCCTGTGAATTGTGAGGTGTTAAGCTGCTTCTCTGGCCTCTATCCAATAGATGCAATAGCACCCCCAAAGTTGTGGCAGCTAAAAATGTCTCCATACACTGCCAAATATCCTCTTGGGGGGTGAGGGGTGACAAAATAGTCCCCAGTTGAGAACCGCTCATCTAGACCATTCCTAAAAGGAAGGGATCCTGCCACTCATCCCATTCACAGGGAGAGTGAACTTGGCCCCTGGCTTGGGCAGCCTCTGTCAGCCTCTCCTCCTACCCCCTCATCCTGGGAACCTCTACAAAGGAGTCTTAGACCCCGTCAGGCAACTCCTTTGAACCAGGATTTACTCATCTGGAGAAATGAAACCCTGTTCCCAGCTCCCTGGCAATGATGGAGTCCAAGAGAAATATCCAAATCTCTGAACACCGGTTGTGTAGTCCCGAGCAGGTAGCCCAGCCCCTGTCACCCTCCTGTCCTCATCCACAACTCCTTCTTTGCCGGGGTATGTTTTTGGCATTCAAACCAGATTTTCCAAGAAACTTTAAAAGTGGCTACAGGCAAACTGCATGTCTATTGGTCACCTGATGCTTTTAAAGCTACATTCTAGAAATCTGTGATTGGTAAGTTTTAATTAGCCTGAATTGCTATATTTATTTAACGTTCTGTCCAGAGGGCTGGGAATACTAAAGCAAACATTTTTTTAAGGAGCTTCTTTGCTTTCCAATCTCCTGTGACGCTTGTTTCAGATTGTTGGTGCCCTCTGCTGGAATTTCTTGGTTATTGCAATTGGCATTGTGCGCTACTCGAGTCCTGTCAGATCTAGGAAATGTGTTTGGAAATTCCCCTCATGACCCGCCCATGTCCTCCAATTCCGAGGCTAGCTGAAAAGAGGACTTTCCGGAATGTTCTTCAGTCAGCTTCCCTGCGTGCCTCAGCCTAGGACACCGGTTCCGAGTAGGGTCCACACAGGCTCCCCGTGCCACGCCCTCCTGGAACAGAAGCTGAAACCAGAGCCCTTCCGACTCTCCAACCAGCCCACGCATGGAGGAATGATGTGGTGGAAAGCACACATGGGGGCCGCCAGGCTCCTGGCTTCACCTTCCACCTCGGCACGTGCCCGGCTGTGGGGCCCTTAACATCTCCCACTCACGGAGGCTTCGTTTCTCCGTCTGTGAGATGGTGGTTTCAGATTGTACTTAGAGGTGTTCTAGGGAAACTCACAGGGGCCTCCCAGGCCAAAGGGGACATGAGGAGGAGCCAAGTGGGCAACTACCACCACCAGAGGGCTTCCTTCCACTTCTATCTGGTTTGATATATGAGGTTTTAATATTTTGTTTTTTCTGTTAAAAAAAAAAAAGAAAAAGACAGACTTCCTTTTTGAAAATCATGCAGTAGGTGATCTCTAAAGTCTTTCCAGTGCTTGCTGTGACTCCTGCTCTAAGTGCATCTGTGAGGAGACGTATCTGTGAGGAGACGTGTCTGTGTGTGAAGTCACAATGTCCTGCACTGCCCGGCCCTGCTTTTCAAACTGCATTGAAGAGAATGGTAAGGGCCCAGGGCGTCCTCTTTCTTCACCCTGAGCAGCACCCGGCCCAAAGTCGGTGCTCAGTGTGTGATGACAGTGGCTCCCTCCAAAATCAAGTTTATAGCAACAGGCTCAGTAACTTGTCACAGACTCCAGGGTTATTTTATCTCCTCTGAGAAAAAATTATGTTTGAGCCAGTTCAAAAACAAGCTCACGGAAGTTGGTCAGTAAGGTTTGGTGACTGGAACCTTCTTGGGGAGGCTGGCCCACTCCGTTATACAAACGTTTTCCAAAGTTTCACATTTAAAATTTAAGCCTAACCTAATGGTTGACTCTGAATACCAGACACTGTGAAGTTTAGTATAAACGCTATAAAGGTATTTATAAAGGTACTTGTACCTTTATCTCTATATATTTTTAAATATTTTTATTTATTTATTTTTGGCAAAGAAAAATTGTATATATTTAAGGTGTACAATGTAATGTTTTGATATACATTGTAAAGTGATTTCCACAAACTAACGTATCTATCACCTCCCATAGTTACCTTTTTTGTGTGTGTGGTGAGAACAGTTGATATCTACTCTCTTAGCAAATTTCAAATATATAGTACGTTAGTATTAACTACAGTCACCATGCTGTCCATTAGATCCCCAGAACTTGTTCATCTTTTCTTCCCTTTTCCTCCAACTCCCAGCCTCTGATAACCACAATTCTATTCTCTGTTACTGTGAGTTCAACTTTTCTTTTTCTTCTACTTTTTCTTTTTTACATTCCACATATAAGTGAGATCATACAGTATTTGTCTTTCTGTGTCTGGCTTATGTCAGTTAGCATAATGCCCTCCAGTTGCATTCATGTTGCGAATGGCAAGATTTATTTATTTTTAAGGCTGAATAATCTTCCATTGTATATACCACATCCTGTTTATCCATTTATCTGTCAATTTTAGGTTGTTGCCAGGTCTTGGCTACTGTGAGCAATGCTGCAATGAACGTGGGAGTGACGATATCTCTTTGAGATAGTGATTTTATTTCCTTTGGATATATACCCAGAAGAGAAATTCATAGATCATAAGGTATTTCTATTTTTAATTTTTTGAGAAACATCCGTACTGTTTTCCATAGTGGCTGCACCAGTTTACATTCCCACTAACAGTGCAGAAGGGATCCCTTCTCTCCACATCCTCGCCAGCGTTTGTTATCTTCTGAGTCTTTGATGATAGCCATCCGCACAGGTGTGAGGTGATATCTCATTGTGGTTTTGATGTGCATTTCCCTGATGATTAGTGATGCTGAGCACCGTTTCATGTACCTGTTCGGCATTTGTGTATCTTCTTTGGAAAAATGTCCATTCAGATCTTTTGCCCATTTTTTAATCAGGTTTGTTTGTTTTTGTTGTTGAGTTATACTATTTCCTTATATTTTTTGGATACTAACCCCTTATCAGATATATGGTTTGCAAATATTTTTTCCCATTCCATAGGTTGCCTTTTAATTTTGTTGATTGTTTCCATTGTTGTGCAGAATCTTTTTAGTTTGATGTAGTCCCTCTGTTTATTTTTGCTTTTGTTTCCTGTGCTTTTGGTATCAATGCCAAAAAAATCATTGCCAAGACCAATGTCAAGGAGCTTTTCCCCTATGTTTTCTTCTAAGAATTTAATTTTCAGGTCTTACTTTTAAGTATTTAATCTATTTTGAGTTGTGTATGATATAAAATAAGGGTCAAATTTCATTCTTTTGCATGTGGCTGTCCACTTTTCCCAACACCATTTATTGAAGAGATTATCCTTTCTGTGTGGTATATTCTTGTATATCCTTTGTTGAAAATTAGTTGACTGTATACATGTGGGCTTATTTCTGGGCTCTCTATTCTGCTCCATTGGTCTATGTGTCTGTTTTTATGCTAGTACTATATGGTTTTGATTACTATAGCTTTATAGTATAGTTTGAAGTCAGGAAGTGTGACATCTCCAGCTTTGTTTTTCTTGCTCAAGATTACTTTAGCTATTTTGGGTCTTTTGTGGTTCCATACAAATGTTAGGATTGTTTTTCTACTTCTGTGAAAAATGCCATTGGAACTTTGATAGGGATTGCATTGATTTGGTAGATTATTTTGGGTGGCATGGACACTTTAACAATATTAATTCTTGCAATCTACAAACACAGGGTATCTATCTCTATATTTCTAAGTCATATGCTCAAACTGCTATTGCTTAATTATCCATTTTAGACATTATCTATTTTCTTCCTAGTATGGAAAATGAGGATTTAAGTCTATTGTGTTTATAAACAAATAGCTTTTTTAAAGTTATCACTGTGCCTATTGAAATTCTTTAATTGAATCCATAGTAGCTGCTGGGAAAAATCCAGTTGTCTTAGTCATGAAAGACCCAAACCTCAATGTTAAATACCTGAGAGGTTTCCAGGCAAAAAACTCAAAGATAGACTGAGCCAATCCCACTGTTTAATTATTATTAATAAACTATATTGATTAATAATTCCTTGTGTTTTCGAAAAGCACCTTACAGTTTACAAGGGCACTTAACACAGTTAATTTTCACAACATCTCTGTTAGGGCTGCAAGGGCAGCTCCACTTTATAGGTGATGACTTACACAAAGCCGTAGGGATGTGAAGGGTCAGAACTGGGACGGTTCTCCAGCCCAGTGTTTCTCCCACTACCCCACATGACCTCTTGCCTGGGAAGGAAGGACACAGGAGGTGAGAGCTCTCAGCCACCTGCTCTCCTGCTTCCAGATCCAGTCCTCCTGTCCCTTCCTCCTTCATCCTCATCTCTCCCTCTTCTCAACTTCTCCCTTTTCTGTCTTGAGCCCGTGGAACCAACTCTTTGAGGCTTGCTTGAGTTTCTAGGCAGCAGACTTCCATGGCCAGTTGGTCACAGGCATTCAACAAAGCCAGGTGCTCTCACTCAGTTCCACTTCCATTGCCCGCAGCTCAGACCCCACTCAGCTCTTCAGGAGCTTCTCAGGTGAGGGCTCTGCTGGCTGCCGATAGGGATGGCCTGAGGCCAGGATCCGAGGTGGGGTGTGCCCCCCACTCCCTCCTGAAGGACAGAGGATGAAAGCTGTTGCACAATGCTTGAGTAAAAAAATAAATAAACACATAGTCAGAACAGCATGGCTATTGTTAAAGAATCGCTCTGACCAAAAATCCAAACCACCACAGCAGAGACCTGAGAATATAATAAAGTGGTGACTTTTCTTAAATATTGGTTTTTTTCTCTGAATGCAAGAGTGATACAAACTCATGGGCGGTCAGGGGGAGGTGGATGGAAACACAGAAAAAGACCAAAATAGAAAAGAGATCACATATAATGCTACCACCCTGCCAACATCCTTCCATCTTTTTCCTTTCTTTTGTTAAAAGAAAAGAAATGTTTACCGTTTACTTTTCATTTTTATCTAAGTAATATTTATTTTGGCCATTATGTTTATATTATTTTGGATATTATATTTATATATTTCTAAGAGCTCCAGATTTCGAAGGAGTAATTCTTCTTGAGATGCATGTTTTTCAACTGCCTGTGTTTCTTTCCTCCTTGGCTTTTGCTGTTTCCATGCACAGGACCTATGTGAGTTTCTTTCTGATGATTTTTCATCTTTGAATGGGGCTGGCTACTTGCTGAAGAATAGAGTGGGGGTGAGTGAGGCTGACGGGAGGGAGGAGATGGAGAGAACTGGTCTATAATTTTGGTCTACAATGTGGTGTCTTGTAGCACTTAGGAATGCTTTGAAGCATACAACAGAAAATTCAAAAAAGTAGTGTCAGACGGAATTTGTTACTTCAAATAACAAGAAATGTAGGCATAAGTAACTGTTGGGATTTCCTCAGTGGTGCAACCTGGTCAAGTCCAGCACCTCTGCAATTCCCTTGACTTTTTCCTCGTTGTCACCAGGGAACAGTGAGGCTGCTCTGACTCCAGTCACCACACCTGAACGGAAGGTAGGAAGAAGGGCTAGAGGAGTGGCACTAATTGTGTTTTTCTGTATTTTCAAGAAAGGCAAAAGTTTCCCCAGAAAGCCCTAGCAGACATCTACTTATGTATCATGGACCAGAGCCACGTCATGTGGCCATATTTAGCAGTGAGGGAAGCAGGGAAGGTAGATGGTTTTCCTTGCCTCTGTGGTGGAGGTGGCAGAGGAGAAAGAGTTTGGAACCGTCTACTCAGTTTGCCAAACAGCAGTGGCTACCACACCTTTCCTTGGTCCTGGGAGTCATTCTCCTTTCATATTCCATTTTTCAAGTGGGTGGTTGGCTCAGAGGCTGAGTCACAACTCCCTGTGCTATGGTCTGGAGATCACTGCTCCTCTCAGGAGCCACCCTCAGCCACACAAACTCGGTCACAAGCAACAAATTTGGCCTTCCAGTGTAGTTTCTCCTTCAGCTCCCTCTCCCTGGCCTTCCCAGTGTGCAGTGGTCTGTACAGGAACAGTTCCACTTCTTTCGTAATTGACACCTGCTCCTGGATCTCACTGCTCCCATCCAGAGGCTTCCAGGCGGGACACTCTCCCTAGGAGGTGCACAAGATGATCCACTGGGCTGCAGGAAGAAAATACATTTGGAGCTTCTCTTGATCTCTTATTTTTATCCTAAAAAAAGAAAGAAGTTTATCTCTACTGATCCTGAATATCCGGTCTAACAAGAGCACCCTTGTTCGGCTCATATGTCAGGTGGGCATGTGGTGCATATGCAGAAGACTGGAAGCTGCACACGTAGAGTTGTTGACAGTGGCTTCACCCTCGTTCATTCCCTTTCAGCGAAAGGGAGTAAAAGAAGTGTGCAAAGTAGCGTGGTTTATGTGTGCCTAGTTCAGAGGATTATCAGTTATACTATCTAGTTTTTTGTTTTTTGTGTGTGTATGAGGAAGATCAGCTCTGAGCTAACATCCGATGCCAATCCTCCTCTTTTTGCTGAGGAAGACTGGCCCTGGGCTAACATCCGTGCCCATCTTCCTCCACTTTATATGGGACACTGCCACGGCATGGCCTCACAAGCGATGCATCAGTGCACGCCTGGGATCTGCACCCAGGCCACCAGCAGTGGTGCATGCGCCCTTAACCGCTACGCCACAGGGCCGGCCTACCTAGCCAGCACAAAGTGAAGAAGGAATTTACAAAAATTCCTGCCAAAACAAAAACAAAATAAAGTAAAACAAACAAAAACTTTGGAGTGAATGCACTACTAAAGCAAACAAAAACAGAACAATGAGACAAAAATGGCAAATGTGACACGTCTTTTACTACTAGAAATGAACTTTTCATCAGCCACACTACAAAGTAAAAACTACAACAATCTAATCCGATCAACCGAAAAGTCAGTCCAAAAAAAGCCAAATTTTATCAAGAAAACTATTTGAAGTGTGGATTTATATCAGTAAAGATGTGCTGTTAATAAAGAAAATAAAAATGATTTGGTTTTACAAAAAAACTAACAACCAACCCAATTAAAAAATGGGCAAAAGACATGAACAGACATTTCTCCAAAGAAGATATACAGATGGCCAACAGGCACATGAAAAGATGTTCAACATCATTAACTATCAGGGAAATGCAAGTCAAAACTACAATGAGATATCACCTCACGCCGTCAGAATGGCTATAATTAACAAGACAGAAAACAGCAAGTGTTGGAGAGGATGTGGAGAGAAGGGAACTCTCATATACTGCTGGTGGGAGTGCAAACTGGTGCAGCCACTATGGAAAACAGTATGGAGATTCCTCAAAAAATTAAGGATAGAACTACCATATGATCCAGCTATTCTACTGCTGCGTATTTATCCAAAGAACGTGAAAACACCAATGTGTGAAGATACGTGCATCCCTGTGTTCATTGCAGCATTATTCATAATAGCCAAGACTTGGAAGCAACCTAAGCGCCCATCAAGGGACAAATGGATAAAGAAGATTCCATCTACACAATGGAATACTACTCAGCCATAAGAAACGATGAAATCCAGCCATTTGTGACAACATGGATGGACATTGAGGGTATTATGCTAAGTGAAATAAGTCAGAGGGAGAAGGTCAAATACCGTATGATCTCACTCATTAAGTAGTAGATAAAAACAACAACAAGCACACACATAGAGACAGAGATTGGATTGGTGGTTACCAGAGGGGAAGAGGGGAGACAGAAGGGTGAAAGAGTAATTAGGCACATGTGTGTGGTGATGAATTGTAGTTAGTATTTGGGTGGTGAACATGAGAACATGATGTAATCTGTGCAGAAATAGAAGTCTAAGGATGTACACCTAAAATTTATACAATGTTATAAACCAATGTTACCTCAATAAAATTAATTAATTAATTAATTAATTAATTAAAAAAATGATTTGGCTTTAAATATTGTTTAGTCTATTTCCATCTAATCAAAGTTTCTACTTAAATCTGTTTTATCATTTATATAGTTCATGAACATACCAAAATCTGTATATAAGTTATAGAGTAATAAATATATGTTGGGGTGCATCTATTGTATTCTGATAATGATTTGCCGTCAAAAAAGTTTGGAGAAGACTACCCCAAGCAATGGACTTTCAGGACTCTGACTTTCCTCATATCAGTAAGGATTCTTGGTTATCAACTACACAACTCACTCTAGTTGTTTTAACCAGAAAAGGAACTTATCAAAGGACATTAAGTAGCTCAAAAAACCTTTAGGGGAACCAGACAGCAAGACAGGTTTGGAGCCTACACAGCCAGTAGTAATGCTTGCCTGTCCACACACAAGATTCACCCAGCAAAGACCTCTCTTCTGCAACCGCTAGGGACCATACACCAGCCAGGACCTCGGTCACTGTGTCCTGGTGCCCTGAAGCTCTGCTACATTGCACCCAAGGCCACACCCCTCCCTAGCCAAGAAGAAAAATGGAATCCACAAGGTGTCTGCTTCATCCTGGGCTCCCTTTCTAATCAAGGAAAGTCTCCTGCCCATTGTAGAGTCTGGATCACATTCTTTTTGGTGCTTATTTTTGGTAAGCTTTGAGGAAGGAAGAGGAGGAAAAAAAATGCCTTTACTTTGTGAAATTTTAATAATAATTCTCCAATTTTAGTAATTTAAATATATGTTTTCTTTCTTGATCAGTCTGGCCAGAAATCTGTTCAATTTGTTTATTAATAACACTGGTTCATTTTTCTATTTACTATTATACTAGTTTTATCCTTTTTAATTCCTTACTCCTGCTTTTCTTGGGTTTGTTTTCTATTTTAATGAGTTAAATGTTCAGTTCATTTCTTCTCTAGTGTAAGAATTTGGTGCTAAGAATTTGCCTCTTATGATGGAGGTTTTGAAATGTAATGTCATTATTATTATTATTTTGCACTATAATTTCCTATTTGATCCAAGATTTTTAAAGTGTCTTGTTTTGTTTTTATTTCCAAGTTTTACAAGGTTTTTTGTTTGTTAATCTTGGGTTTTTACTTTCTGATTTTATTACATTGTGATAAGATAGTGTGACCTGTACATCTTCAGCTTTGAGAAATTAATTGGAGTTTTCTGTGCAGCCTAATATAAAATCCATTTTTGTAGATGTTCCATAGACACTGGAAAAATTAGGACTAATAGATTTTTAAATTTCTAAATGGAAGGGCCTTTTAAAATTTTTTTGTTATTAATTTCTAGTTTTATTCCATGTAATGAGTATTATTAGTAATTTTCTTCTTTATGGAATTTAATATTTTCTTTGTGACCTTATATATGATCGGTTTTTTCAATGATCTATGTGTGCTTGAGAAGACGTATTTCCTATAATCAGGGTGTAAACGTTTTATATATGCATAAAATCTACCTTGTTATTGGTTATATTGTTTGTCTTCATTATTCTTGCTTATTTTTTGACAATTTGATCTGTCTTGTACTTGTGGTATGTTAAAATCTCCTATTATTAGTGTGTTTCTATCTGTATCTCCTTATATCTCCTCTTGTTTCTAGTTATATAGGTGGTTGCATTTGTTGGTGCATAACTCTTCATAATTGTTATATCTTAATTGTGATATGTAGTTTTAGCACTTTTATTTGTTATGCTTAATGCTTTTTGACTTGAATACTACTGGGATATCTGGATCAAAACTCCAGCTTTTTTTGTTTCCATTTACCTGATATATTTTGCCTGTTTCTTTATTTTTAGCTTTCTGAATAACTTTGTTTAGATGTGTCTCTTGTATACATACCAGCTTTATGAGCTTGAAAATCTTTCTCTTATTAGGTGAGTTATATCCACTCACATTTATTGATACGACATATATTTGGCCTCAATTCCATCTTATTATTTTACATTATAATTACTATATATGTATATTAATTGTATTTCTTTCTCTATCTGCTGTGTTTCCTTTGTTCTAATTTTTTAATTTTCTTTTGATATTTAGAAAGGTTTGCCAAGTCACGGAATATTTGTTTAGTTGTTACCTTTCTTAGTTCTATGTTTTTTATTCATTTGGTTTGTCAGTTATGAAAAGTATCCACTGACTCTCACCTATTGCTTATACAAAAACCCATAAATTTATTCTGCCATCCCCTTTACATATGATTCTTCCAACTTTGCACCTCCCCCCACTCTTGTTTTAGTCTTAGAGCTACAATTAAGTATATTAAATGAATTTGAAGTTTACAGTATTCCCTGTCTTCTAGTATGCTAAAGGCATGCATGGATTAATGATGGTTTTATTTGTTCTTCTTGTTGATCTGTATAGTTTTTTGGAGGACGTGTGGAAAGATACAAATTTAGGTGGCCACCATCATCCATGGAAACCTGCAAGTTCTCTTGAACTTTGAGAACCCAAAACAAAATGCCCCCTACAAATGTGTGCCCTTTTGGCTCATGAGCACTTTAGTAGCTTCCTTTCAAGTCACAGAATATTGCTTCTTCGTGTGTTTGCATGTATTTATTCAGAATTGGATGCTAAGATTTCCATCCTTGCCTGGTATTTGCCCCCAACATTCTTCTTAGATCACTTCATGCAGGACTCCTGTGCTCATGGCATTCACCCTTCATATCTTAATGTAAAGAACTTGTTACATACAGTTAAGTGATCAAGCCTCTCAAAGAGAACAGGGAGGAAGATAGGGCTGTCGGCCAAGGTCTCTACATAGTTTCTTCTCTATGTCTGGCAGAGATTCTGCACCATGAACTAGGCCCTCAAATGGGACTGATGTTAATAGACAAGAAGGTACTGAATTGAGTGTTGCCTATGTGTCCTATAGCCCACTCTCAATGTTCCCTCCCATCTTCAAAAACAAACAAACAAATAAACAAAAAAACAACTAGAGAATATGCTTAGCTTCAAGAATCCACAAGTTCAACTGCTTTTTTGGGAGAGGAATTACAAATCAAATCTTAGTACTCTTCTTGATCATGTTCTAGCTCACTGTGGCTTCCAGAAATTAATTTTCTACCTTGTGATGGTCCTCTTCCATAGAAAAGGGACAAGACATTTTTTTCATTCCCTCGTTCATTTCAGTTAGGATTAAGATAGAAGGAGTAGGTTCTTTTACTCATCACCATTTAATCCTGAAATCTTATATAAAGATATTACACTTTTACAGTACCATCTGAATACAATGTCAAGAAAAAGCATATGGTGTCATTCGTAACAGACGTTAACAGCTCATTAAATGCCCACCTTGTGTGCTGGACTCCAAAGATAAGACATGGGTCCTTGAGAAACTTGCAGTATTGTGCTTCAGAGAAATGATGAATATGTAGGATAAATAATAAGCAGTAATAAAATGCCTGGTATAGGTACCAAATGCTATAGGATTTGAGAGGAGCCTAAATCATAGTTCTGATGCAGGAGATAACAGAACTGGGCCCAAAGGGAGGCAACCCTTAACCAAAGGGAAGTTGGGAAAGGGAGAAAACGAACAAAGGTGTTCCTGGGATATCTGGTGTGGTCTGTGTGAGCTATTATGATGCTTCCTTTTCATCATTAGCTGATGCAGATTACCTTCATTCTCTGAGAGCTTGGAAGAAATGTTGGTCTTCCCAAAGCTGTGGGTAGAGTTATTGATTCATCACCTCTGATTTTCTTTGCCTTCCTCTCGAATGAATAAAATGTTGCATAATGGATTAGCCTTTATTAAAGAGCGCAGTTGTTTACCTCAGAAACTTTGGGCTTCTCTAAAGTATGGTTGGATGATGAAATCCATGTTACATGTCTAAAGATAATTTGTCCATTTCCAGTTCCCCACTTTTTTCTCAACACCACCCATTCAGAAAATATTGGTGTAGTACTGTGATGGTTAATTTTACATGTCAACTTCGCTGGGCCATGGTGCCCAGATATTTGGTCAAACATTGTTTTGGATGTTTCTGTGAAGGTTTTTTTGGATGAGATTAACATTTAAATTGGTGAACTTGAAGTAAAGCAGATCACTATCCATAATGTGGGTGGACCTCATCCAATCAATTGAAAGCCTTAATAGAACAAAGACTGACCTCTTCTCAGAAAGAGGGAATTCTGCCAGCAGACTGCTTTGGACTAAAACTGCAACTCTTCCCTGGGTCTCCAGCCTGCCAGCCCACCCCATCAGATACACACAGACACACAATGCACACACACACACATCCTATTGGTTCTGTCTCTTTGGAGAACCCTGACTAATACAAGTACCTAGGTAACTTCTTCATGAGGATGAACTTAAGGACAAGTATAATCATGTTTAGAGCCTTTAGAAAGGCTTTCATGAAGAATGAAGTCATGCTCCCTGGAGAAATGATGCCTGACCTTTAAACAGGTGAAAAGTCTATTCAGACAGTAGATGCACCCTAAAAAAAAGAAAGAAATACCAGGTAATAAATATGTTGTGCCCTCACATTTAGAGAACATAAAATGTATGAAAGAAAAGATTAAACATGCAAAGGTAACACAATAGACTAGGAAGAATAATTAGGAGATTTCAGAGCCAAGGAAAGAAATTGAGGACAAAAAAAAAAAATGTCTATACAGAGCTAATTCATAAACAAGAATAAGAATCATGGAAGATAAAGAATTACACAAAAAACAAATCTCACAGAAAGGAAAAAGGCAAAGAAATGAAAGCCATTTAGAGTTAAAATGGTGGATATGGAAGACACACACAGATAAATGATACCTCTAAATAAGAAATAAACAAATGGGATGCAAAAAAATGTGTCCAAAATTAGAACAGATGAAAACACCCCTGAAATGAAGAAAGAATTATATCTTCAAATTCAGGCAACTGAAAGCAACCATGTTGCTGGGGAAAATATGATACAGTATCATCAAAACTGAGATATATCCTGGAGAAGTTTATCAACTCTAAAGATAAAGAATATTATTAGCACACAGGCAAGCCACCTATATTGGAGATTAAAATCAGGCAGCGTTCTAACCGTCTCTAAAAGGACAATGCCAGAAGATAGGTGTATAAGACAAGAATAACAACTCCATGCTTCCACCTAACAAGATGCATCCATTTTTTGGTTGCATCTACAACGAAGCCCTCACCCTCTTCCGAAAAAAGCAATATACAAAACCCTAACAGTCCTCATATCCCTCTCTGGGTGAGGCTAATTTCTCTTCTAATTCAGTCAGAATCCCATGTAAACCATTCGGAACATAAAGACTAACAGTATGCCTTATATAATAAAGGAAAATGGGGAGGAAAAAATAATATATATACAGATGTATATATCAAGCAAGGAAAAAATATGCAGAGCTGCTATACCCCATTTCTGAAACTGGTAGTCAAGCCGTGGTTGTTGTTCTTGCTTCCTATCTCACCATACATTTCAGCCTCCTTTATCCTCAGCCAGTATCTCAGCAGATCCAGATTCTTTGGGGTAACCCAAACCGTCATTCCTAAAAAGTCTGATCCCCATTGGTCTTCATTTACTTTACCATTAACTTTCTTTCTACTCAACTTGGAAGTACTAAGAGGTGCCTTAGAGAATCCACTGAGTTCCATTGTGTCTTAGCAACTCAGTTCCCCAATGTAATTGGTGTCACCCCAGCCAATATAATAACCTCCTCTTTGCTTGTTGAGTGGCACATAAAGTCCAAAATGGCCAATGGAAGTCTCAACTTATAAATCAAGGATGTAAATCAATTATATTCCCTAGTGGAAACATTCCTCCGTTGGAAACTAAGACCTCTAAGCTAGCAGAAGCCTATCAGAGATAGGAGGCAAAAATTCTGTGAGTGGGTTATCAGGAAACACTTCCACTTCTACCCTTGATTCCCAGACCTGTATTCTAGCTGTGGAAAAACAGCACATATATTGATCACAGTCCAAAAAGAAAAAGAAACATACACACACACACATCCTGTAGGTTATACCCAAGCTTTCAGAGTATTGTCTTCTAACTTATACGTAACTGTCTTCAGTAGGCCATTCCACTGTTCTCTCAGGCGAGCTGTTTCTGAGTGGGTACACGGTAACACTAGTGAATTACGTGAGCATGACCCATTGTGATTCTTCTCTTGCTGTAAAAGGAGTTATTTGGCAGAAGTGATGAATGAAGTACTTTTATAAAGCATTTCATTAGTCCAGGGAGGGTAGTACTACCAGAAGCATTGCAGACAGAAGAGGTAAATCCATATCCATAATAAGTGATTACTCCAATGAGAACAAATTACTACCCACTCCACAGTAGGGTATCATCATTGGCCTATGCTGTTAGCAAGTTTGATATTAAGCTAGATCATCCTTGGTGAGGGGGAAGTCTACATTGTTGAGCCCATCCCTGCCATCATGGCTACTTTGAACATGGGCTGTTGAGCAAGCACTGAGATGGCTGGGAAAAAAGGCTGGCTGACCTCCTCAGGGCATGTCTTCTTGTCTACTTAATTATTCTTTGGTAGATGCCTTTGGTGAGCATTCACATGGAACACAAATATCCTCACTCTGTGCCCTTTCAAAGAGGACTAACCCCATACTCTTCCCTAGAACTCCTTTTCACTCATTTTCCAATCTTGTTCTTTCCAAATCCCTGACGAACTGGCCAACACATTAAACTCTGCCCATGGACCAAGAAAAAGTCTTGCCTCTAGATATCTCACACTGACTGAGTTGTCAATAAAATGGATCACTTGAAGTTCTGCTAGGTGAGAGAATTTTTCTTCGACACTCTTTTAGGAGTATTTCTAACTGAGGTTGAAATGTCCTAGCAGTCTGCTTCCTGTTAGTACCAGTATCTTGTGAAGAATCATCAGATCTGAGTTTTTCTTCCTCAACCAATTGGTAATAAGGAATTCACCAATAAATCATAGGTATACATAGGGGGAGAGGAAACAATAAAGCAGGAGTAGGCATCATACGAGTCTGAGACCACTGCTCATGTAATTTATTTATGCCTTCAGGATTTGCTTAATTTTCATCTCTATTATACAATTTCTATTTAATTATGAATTGCTGCTGTGCGTGTTCAACTTTATGGCTTAATGAGCCAGATAACACGTAGTTCGTGATGGGAACTCAGATTACATAACCACTTGATGTCCCAAGGTTAAACATTCTAGCTCTACCAGAACCCGGTAGGAGCTGGTTCTCAACTGGAGAACGGGGACATGACTTTGCTTCTAAATCCTGTTATTCTCCTTTAGGGCTTTTCAGAGGCTCCATTCTCTTTGTAGACCTTTCAAGTAGACCTTTCAAGTGCATCTGGGTCATAAAACCCAAGTCAAAGCAGTCTGCACTGCAGCTTGGACCTGCTGCAGAGCCTTTTCTTATTGGAGGCCCCCCTTGAAACTGACAGGGTACTCTATAAATGAGCAGGAACACACTCAAATGTAGCATATGTTGCTTCCAAGAGGCAAATCAAGCATTTTGCCTCTTTTTTAATGGTAGGCAGTGCAAGATAGAGTAATGTGTCAATCCTTTTGGAAGGGATATCCCAACATGCCTTAGACCCATGGACCTCCAAAAACCTCTCTGAAGTAAGCCCCTGAAATTCTGTGGTTCTTATCTCCCACCTGCTGGTACACATGTATCTTAATAAGACATCTAGGATACTTGTTAATTCCTGTTCATCAGAACCAGTCATCATTATATCATCAATGTAGTAAGTTATTTGGTTTTCTGTAGGATGTCAAGACAACCAAGATTTCTACTGATTAGATTATAGTAGAGAGCAGAAGAGTTGACATGGCCCTGAGGCATTATCTCTGCTAGGTGAAAGCAAACTGCTTCAGGAGACGTTGCAAACCGATATAGAAGAAAAAGCATTTGCCACATCAATAGCTGTGTACTAAGTATGAGGAACTAAGTTGATTTGCTCCAAGAAAGATATTACTCCTGCAACAGCAGCTGCAGTTGGCATCTCCACCTGATTAAGTGTATGATAATCAACTATCGTTCTCCAAGATCCAACCACCTTCTGTGCAGGCCAAACAGACAAGGTAAATGGACATGCAGTAGAATCAACATCCCTGTATCTTTAAAGTCTTTGATGGTGGCACTGACCTCTGAAATTGCTCCAGATATGCTTTTGGTTTACATCCTGGTAGGGGAGGAAAGTTCCAAGGTCTTCTACTTGGCTCTTCCTATCATAACAGTCCTCGTATAATAGATCAGGGAGCCAACATAGGGTTCCTGCAGTTGCTGAACATGTCTATTTCAATTATACATTCAAGAACTAATTTATTTTGTTAATCTCAAAATGTATTAATGAACAAAACCTAACTCATGTATCTAAAATAAAATGACTCTGAAATGTTAAAAGTCAAACGATGGGCATAGATAAAGCAGGCAAATGAAAACATAAAGCATACAGTCCTTAGCGCCTAGATTATGATCTCTAAGTACCTTTACCCACTGAAAAGAATGAGAGCTTCTTGGAGAAATGACTGATTCCATATTTGGGACAAGAAACTTAAAAGGTGAATGTGGGACA